CTCGGACGTCCTCTCGAGCCCCCTCCACCCTACGCCACACCACACCGGGACAAGTCCCCGCAGTACTCACTCGGAAGACTCGATTTCGATCGACATAGCGGTATCGCTCCGGGTCCAGGCCCCTCGCAGTACAGACCGAGTCGCACAACACTTAGCGACACTTCCGGCGGCCGCCTCGCGTCACTGCCGCTCGACGAAGTTCTAAGGGCGATGAGGGAGGCGCAGAGGTTGCGCAGTGCGTGAGGGACGGGGCCTAGCGTGCTTGTCAAAAGTCTGTCTGGAGCTGGCGAGACCGCTCAGAAAGTCAAGGGGACTGCCGCCGATCCTGGCGAACTGAGTTCGATCCCGGGACCCACCAGGCAGAGGCGGAGAACCGGCTCGCTCGCGCTGGGAGTCCTTTTCCCTCGCTGAGCTGTGGCTGGGGTCTGACTGCACGCTAACGCAAGCACGGTGTCTCTTTTATAGGGGTTGGCTGTCCCCGCCCTCCTGTCCCACCCTGTCGCTGGGTTGGGCTAAAGGAGTGTGCCTCCGCCTCCCTAGTACAGCGATTAAAGGCGTGTACTCACTTGATTCCATTACCGTGGGAGTTCGAGGGCAATCTGATCTACTCTCAAAAACAAAACAAAAACATTTTATCTATTTATGAGTGTGTGCACTGTGCGTGTTTGTGTTTGTGTGTGTGTGTATGTACATGTAAAGGACAGAAGATAATTTTAGAGGAGTTCATTTTCTCCTTCCACTATGTGGATCCAAGTGATCAAACTTTGTTAGATTTTGTGGCAAGTGCCTTTACCTGCTGAGCCATCTCACTGGCCCTGTCATATTATTTTACTTCAGCTAGAATTACTTCTTTATTTTACCTATAAAAATAAATTTTCTATATAATTACTTATTACAAGGCTTTAGTGTCTTCCATAATTTTATTTTATTTTTATAATTCCAATTATAATGTTTATATTCAGGCTTATTTATTATTTATATAAATATAAGCAGCTCCTGCGTTCACTATGTCTTTAATAGTAATGAATGAGTGGTTTTCTTTTGTTTTGGTTTTTTGTTTGTTTGTTTTGGTCTTTTTTGTTATTTTGTCTTTTTTTTTTCTGCAGCAAAGGAACAAATGTCTTAAGGAAACTTGCCACTTCGCAGGACAATTAAAAAGCAGTAGGGGTTGGGGATTTAGCTCAGTGGTAGAGTACTTTCTAGTTTTCTGATATCAAGTATTTTATTTCTTAATTTGGGTTATTTATTTACTTATTTTTAGCTTTTATTTTAAGGTTTCTCTGTGTAACCCAAGCTATCCTGGAACTCATTCTGTAAACCAGGCTGTCCTGGAACTCAAAGATCCACTCCACCTCAGGAGTGCTGGGATTCAAGGCTTGTACCACTACCTGGTTTACCAAGGATTTTAAGATGGAAGTAAGTATCACTGTATCTTGGCTGGGTGTGGTAGCGCAGGCCTTTGATCCCAGCATGCTAAGGTTGGTGGATCTAAATGAGTCCAAGGTCTGACTTTCAGGCTAACTGGGGCTGTATAACGAGACCCAATCTTTAAAAAAAAAATCACTGTATTTCATAAAAATATTTGTAAATGTTTCCTATACATCATGTAGTGATATATTATTTATGATTTATTAAAGCTTGCCTGAGGATTCAAAAAGTCAAGTCAGCCACAAGCCATAGAAGCCAGGCACACACCTTTAATCCTAGGACTCAGGATTAAGAGGTAGAGAGATTTCTGTGAGTCCAAGGCCACCACATCTACACAAGATTGAATTAGTGTAAAAGAGAATTATAGCTCACACCCTTAATCCCAGAACTCATGCAAAGTATACAAGACTGGAGCAAGGACTCGGTGTCAGGCATTCATTCTCGAGCCATGCTGAAGAGAGGCAGCAGGATCAGCCCATTTAGCCTGAGCTTGAAGTGATACCTAATGACCCACTACTTTGCTCCCCTGATCTTCAGCTTGAATCCCAATATCTGTCTTTGGGTCCTTTTATTTTTCTTGATACAATATTAGGCATTATAATTTTCTCACTATCTGTGTATTATCTATGAGTTTTAGAATATTGAAAGGGATGTTACGAAATATTTGGAGCTTCTTGAATCAAACAGTACTGAGAACATACTGCAGAAATCCCTAGGAGAAATCGTTCCAATAGCCAGGTGTGGTGGAGCAGGCCTGTAACCCCAGCTACTCAGGAAATGAGGTTGGAAGATCACAAACTCAAAGCCTTCTCAGGCTGCAGCATTTAAGGGCAAATCAGTGAAAACCTGTCTAAAGAATAAAAGTGCAAATAGGGCAGGGGAGGTAGCTGAGAGCTAGGACTTGCCTGCATGTGAGAGGTCCTAGGTGTTGGTAAACTGTTTCTCGTGGGAAGATCAAAGAGAGACCCTCTGTGATGTAATCAAGCTTTGTAGCAGCATTGAGGAACAGCCTCTGTGGACTGAACCCCAAGCAGCCTTGTAGAAGTGATTTTATTGGCTGTTACACAAAAGTCATTTTCAGCAGGTCAGTTTTGAACACCAGAACTTTAGATCTGATCTAGGAGTTGTCTGAAGGAACTCATTACCTAAGTAGTTCTCAGTCACTAGAAGACTTCCTGGTTTTCCAGGAAATGTCTTGTCAATTAAGTCATGCAAAGGGCTCTGAAATTCTTACAGGAAAAAAAAAAAAAAACAGCTTCATAAATCTCAGATAACAATCACTGATTGTTTCCAAAAGATGACTTCAAAGTCTAGGTGTGCCATCACTCTTTAGTAAATTCGGGTACAATGGCTCTTCTAAATTTCCCACTAGACCTGAGTTCAATTTTCATGAAGTAATTACATAATTACATTTACATTACAATTACATAAAAGAAGTAAATCCAAGTAAATAAGCATACTTTCTTTATTTCTTTTTTTTTTTTGTGAGATAGGGTTTCTCCATGGCTTTGGAGGCTGTCCTGGAACTAGCTCTTGTGGACCAGGCTAGGCTGGTCTTGAACTCACAGAGATTCACCTGCCTCTGCCTCCCGAGTGCTGGGATTAAAGGCATGCGCCACCACCACCTGATGCATACTTTCTTAATTTTTCATTCATTTAATCTTAGAAAGATCTTATAGAAAATAACACACACGCACACACACACACACACACACACACACACACACACATACACACGCACGCACACACGCGCGCGCGCGCGCACACACGCACACACAGGGGTGCTGGCCAGCAGGCCAGCCTGGTAGGCCCAGGCTGGAGGGAAGACTTCCACCGGCCTTGTGACACCGGGCAGGTGAATCCCATTATGTTGAGCAAATATGTGGTGGAGAAATGGGAAAGAAAGGGAAGTGGAATGGTTCGTGTGCTGGGGAAAGAAGCAGACGAAGAAATGAAGGCGATGAGGAGTGGGCTGATGTGGGAGGCCTGCTTGCCACGTGGGACCAGGGCTGCGGTTGGGGCCATCTCTGGATCGGTGACCCTATAGCAGCCAGGATCTGTGTTGATTTCCATTGCACCAAGGGCTATACTGATTCCAGGGGTCTCAGCCGTGTTGGTGCCCGAGGATCCCGTTACCATCAAAGGCCGGTGGAAGCCCAAGGCCGTGTTGGTGTGGGAGGGTCATACTGCTGCTAGGGCCGTATCGATCTGCGAGGTGGCATCCACCCTGGCTGCTGCTGAGGACCATGTTTGGGTCTGTGGTCGTACCTAGGCTGGGGGTCTATGTTGACGTCCAAGACCCATGTTGCCACCAAAGGACACACAGAAGCCCGGGGTTGAGGCCACAAGTTGTGGCTTTGTTGGTGTCCGGGGTGCCATGCTGCTGCGAGACTCATCCCAGTCTGAGCGGCCAGGGCTTCCACCTGGATACAGGATGTTGTCCTGGGTTGAGCTGCTGCCGAGGGCCGTGTCTGGGTCCATGGTCCAGGTGCAGCTGGTTTCTGTGTTGATGTCTGTGGCCTGTGTCACCTCGCAGGGGTTGGGGGTATAGCAACCATGCGTGATGAAATCAGAGGGCCATGCTGAGCCAGCCCCGCCCTTCACTGTCACTGGGAAAGCTGGCCCTACTTCTTCACACTGCAGCGAGAGATGGCCCCTGGACTTGGAAGAGATGACCACACACCTCACCAGAGGCATGGGAGAACTGACCCTGATGGCATGGGCATAGGGGACCTGTCTCTGCCCCCTCGCCTGAAGCAGGCAGCCCCAGTGGCCTGGACTGACCAGCTCAGGTACCACCCCACAGCCAGGAATGGGTTGGCCCACCCTAGCATCTACCCCACCTATAGGGGACCTGCTGGAGCTTGTGAATGGACTGGTCCTTGGAACTTACCTGCAAGATCTCCATTACTGGGGCTGTCCATGAATATCCCAGAGGAGTTCCAGTGAGGATCCAATGATGATGGTGTTCTAGAAACCAGAGCCATTGAACCAGACCAGTGTCTCACTGCAATAAACATCTGCTAGTAACGCTGATTGAACAAAAGTGTATAGTATGTGGCACACTGCTCCCAATTCCACCAGGAGGAATGAAGAGGTGTTGGAAAGGTGAGAAGGATAGAGAAGGGAAGAGTTTCCTGAGGGTTTTTGTTCTTTGGTTTGGTTTGGTTTGTTCTTATTTTTGTTTGTTTGCTTTGTTTTGTTTTGGGTTTTTCAAATTTTATTTTGGGGGCACTGCAGGAGTGAGAGGAGGATATGGGGAGGATGGTGAGGTGAGCAGATTTAGGGTGTCTTATGTAAAATTCCCAAAGAATCAATAAAGAAATTATGTTTTACAAAAGAAAGAAAAGAAAATCTCTGTGATAACGTTGCAGGAGTCTCTCTGGAATCCATGCTCTGACACCAATGAGAGTGGGAGATAAGAAATGAATGCATTCACCAGTGGACCGAACCGTTTCATTTTTATTTTATACTCTAAAGCCACAAGGTGGGGCAAGTGAGCAGGCAAGCAAACAAGCAAACAGCAGTTAGCTTGGAGGCTTTGGGTTTTTGTTTGGTTGGTGTGGGGGTTTGTTTTTTGTTTTTTTGTTTGTTTGTTTGTTTGGTTTTGGTTTTTGGTTTTTCAAGACATGGTTTCTCTGTGTAGCTTCGGCTGTCCTGGAACTGACTCTGTAGACCAGGCTGGCCTCGAACTCACAGATATCCACCTGCCTCTTCCTCTGCCTCCTGAGTGCTTGGATTAAAGGCCTGCACCACCACCAATGAGGGCTTTTGGTTTTAAAAGGCCTGCCAAAGTTAACTGGTGTAAGCTTTGTGTTCTGGTTGCTAAGGGCAACGACTTATTAGCTATTGCTCCAGGTCATTCTACTCCAGGGAGAAAGTGAAGTCATGCTTGGCAAGAGGTGTACAAGCCATGCTTTAATTTTTCAACAAATCAGTATCTAATAACTGGTGTTTTCTACCCTATTCTACTTCATTCCCTCCTCTTACGAATCTCTCTTGAAAAAATGGGT